CAGCACATCAGTTTTGACCCTAACATTTTTGTCATCCTAATATAAATCAAAACTGTTGCCTATTTCTAATAATTATTCACCATTTTATGAAGAATAACTGAATTAAGTTTTTTTGATTTTTCGTTCACAATTTTTCAGCTGTTTAATTATCTGTCAAATCTTAATTTTTTATTCGAATACCATCAAACTTTGATACTCTTGCGACTGGCTAGAATTAAAGCCAGAGAAATATTTAAGGAGTGAAACGTCAAGTAGAGGATGGGAATGTAATAACCCTGATAGACGAGCAAAATTAATGCGCCTTAAGCAACGCTAATGCGCATTGAAATTTTATGGTGACAGACTTGTGCATTTAGACAGCTGATCGTGAAATTTGCTTATTGATTAAAAAAAAAGTGAAATAAAAATTAATAAGAGAAGTTATTAATAGAAATTTTGGTATTTTTGGAAAATCAATATAAATTTAACGAAAAAATTCGTTTATTATTAACCACGTTAAAAGATAATACAGTGAAATTAAAAGCAATAATTGACTGTAATGCGAAAAAAGTTAAGAATATTGGAAAAATGGATAGCAAACTGTGCGATGTTTATTTCTGTCATCTAAAAATATTAAAATTTGTTTTTGTTAATATACGTGCACATAATTTAATTAGCAATATAAAACTGCTTACCTCTGATGCTGTAAACGCAAAGGAGGCAGCAGACATCTGTCAAAAAATAGCCATTTTGTTGCCTACTCAAATTTGGTAAATTCAGCTAAATGCATTACAAACTTGCACCAACTTGGGTGGAATGCGCAAGTAAATGTAAATTAAGCCCGCTAATACATATTAGCGCTGTTGTCTGTCAGGGCTATAAGGTACCTCACATACAATCATCAGTCATATGGACCAAAGTCAGCCGGATATTTGAAAATCCTGGGTCAAGTTTTCGCTCAAATTTATCCATTTTAGGCACAAAGGTACACTGTCATGATTAAAACACGTTTTCCCAATTTCAGTGAGATAACTCAAATATTGGCTGACTGGAGGCTCAGCGAAGTATTGGCCCAATTTTTGATATACAGACACCGATATTTTCGGTCGAAAGTCAGCTATAGACGCCGGGGTCCACATATTCGGTACCCATTTTGGTCAAAAGGTACCATACTTTAAGGTAACTATTACTGCAAAATTTTATTCCGTTAAATTAATTACTTCTTGATTTGTGTACTGGAAAGTAAAAAAATCAAATGGAATTTTAAATTAAGTTGTAAGTAGGCGTGGTTGTAGTCCGATTTTGCCCCTTTAACATTGTAACATAGGAATGTTAGAAAAATTATACGTATTAAATTTAGTCGAAATCGGTAGGTCGGTTGGTGAGTGACCGAGTTTACCTTCCGATTTCCTCAAATTTCACACTGTCGGTAGGGATTTTTAAAATATTCATGCTTAGCATATTTGCTTGATGTTGCTTTAGTGGCTTAGGCCCATCTGCGAACTCGAAATACATCTGTACATGCGTTACTTCGAGTATGTGAGGTGGTTCTTACCTGGATGATATTCATTTCAATTTAGAGAGAATTAAAGGTTTAAACTATTATTTTATGTAAACTGTTTTTTATTCAATGAAACTAATTGTATAGGTAAATATAACTATATCTATTATACTACGCTTTTAATGTTTTACTCGTAGTACTCTTGCTCGATGATGTTACTATAATTTTACAAATCTTCTGTTCTCTGGATTTCTTATTCTAAATTTAAGCAATCGCAGTTGCTCTTATGCTGCTGTTTAAAATTAAAATTAAATTAAAATAGGGCTACATACTCGTATAATGGTTTGCTTAATCATGAGGTGTTACATGTACATAGATTTGTAAATATTATTTTGCATACACACTCATGTACATACGGATAAGAACATAAATTTAATGTACTAAAAAGCAAACTAATGTAAAAATGTGTATATGTGTGAAATCTGAATAAAAAACGCATCTTGAATATACAAGTATGTGTATGTGGCTATTAAGTACTCGTGAAATTAAATATTTATATCTTTGCGTATAACTAATAGCACTCAATCCTCTTATTTATTTCTTATCTCTCCATACATTTATGCACTGTCTTTTAATTTCTATTCTATTTATTTTTTCTACGTACATATATTTTGAAAATTTATGTGCCTTTCCAATATCTCGAATTATATTCAGAACAATTTGGATTGTGCTGTATAACAGCAATATGTCAATATACAGTTAACTAAGTAAGTAAATCAGTTGCATTGAGCATAAATTGTATACCCATTTTTATTATTAACCCTATAGTAAGAAGATTGAGTGCATTTTATAAAATACATAAATATTTATCAATTAACAAACAATAAAAGAGTATCTGTTTCGATCCTTAGCTGAATGTTATATGAAAAAAGCAATCAAACAATAATTAAATTGTTTTTATAATAATAAAATTCAGTATTGTTTATTATNGTACTAATAAAGCCGATTGTGAAAATTAAATTTCCTACTCTAAATGTACGCACGGAAATGGATATGAAACTAATAAAATGCCTATGGTTTTTGATTTATTTTCTCATATTTATGTAATATATTCTTATCCTTTAAAAGTTTTGTTTTCGTAAAATCCTAATTTTTAGCAAATATAGGCACCCTAAATATTAAAGCTTTTGCAAAACACTTTTACCTAATACAGAGTAACAATATTTTTTACTTAATTTTATTTTATTTAGTTTATTTTCAACATTTAGCTTTTCTTTAATTACGTTTTAGTTTATCTAACCATTTTTAACAATCTTTGTTTATTTTCTTCGTTTAATTTGCAGAATTATATAGGTTGCTCTCTTCAAGTCCTTTCGTGTATATCTTAATAAATTTTTTTCTACTTCGTTATGTTTGCTTTTTGCTAAGTTCCATATAATGAGTTATGTTATTCTATATACTAATATAAATTGTTAGCTGGTATTTAAATAAAAATTACAATTCGTTAATCAGAAATTGGGGATCCGTTATTTTACAGTTTTCTTTGCTTAAAGATTTATTTGTCCTTCATTAAACATATGTATATTGAAAAGAGAATTTAGTGTTGTTTTTATTTTCGGGTATTTATGAGATTATATAATAACTCAAATTTAGCGGTTATGTTAAGTTATCACAAATATTAATGAATCCAAGTAGAATTTGGTTCAAAATTGTTCAAAAAAGCATAAATACAGTTTCACTGAATTCCATTTCAAAATACGCAACAAGATCGAAAATACTTTTCTTTCTAATTTGAAACACTAATCACGGCACATACCGTATTTAATGGTAAAATATTAATAGTAAGAAAGTAGTATTAAAGACGATTTTTTTATCATTGCAATAAATGTTGAAATTATGAATTATTTACCCAATATGGATAAATGTAGGTTAGGTTTTTGTTACTTGAAAAGCATTACAAATAACATTCATATATCAATGTTCAAGTCTCGAATATAGTTTTTAAACTATTGCAAATGGTAACTAGTAATATCTTTGAAGAGAAATCGTTTTATATATAAAAATATAGGGAGCACTACTGCTTCTGTGTTGAAAATTAAGTGAATGACGTAAAAGTTAAATCTTCACCAATTTGAGTACAGCACAATTAAATAATTGGAAAACTTAGTTTCTAGATCCATGATGTAAATTCAGAAAATTATACAAAATATCTAGGTATTATTCGAAATCAATGTGCGTTTTGAGAGTTATGAGTTATGTGCGTGGGTATCATCGCCGACCAATGCTTTGAAATTTTGAAGATAAATACAATTTTACTGTTTTCGAACAAAAATTTACGCATTTAAATATTGTTTTTAATTTATTATTTTTATATCAGTTGAAGTAGTGTTAAAATTTAAGAATACTTTTTAATAAAGTTCAAACTAAATGCTTTTAATAAGTGTATTTAATTAATTACATTGATAATCTTAAGGTTTTCTATAAAAGTTTTTACAATAAGATGTAGTAAATTCGACTCTTGATTTTTTTCTGAATATATGACCGATTACGGGGTTTGTCTATTTGTTAAACATGCTTTTAGGTATTCAACATTTTTGAAACCCAGACATTAGTGCTCATAAGAGTTTAAAGCTGGTATTGAGTATTTATTTACGTTAATGGTTGATAAAGCTTTTTTAGCCACAGTCTTGATTAATTAAATTTAATTGTTTGTGAATTACTTTCATATGCATTTCAATGATGAGTTGTTTGCATTTTGACGGGTTGTAATATATTTATATGCAGTACAATTGCGGTCGAATTTTAAAAACACAGATTAATTTTAATACATATAAAATACAAATGTATACACGCGCTTACTCCTCGATGATTTTTTTTTTTAGGCAAAATGAGTTTAAAGTATGAAAATGGTATTAATCAATGCAGATAAAAATCAATTAATAAAAAAATTATTTAACTTTTTAAGAACTGTTTCAACAATAATTAATTAATTTACATTACTGCATACATAACTAACATGTACACCTCTGCAAGATGTTTGATCAAATTGAACTCAAGACACGTTAAATTGGTTGTTTGAGGATATAAGACACATAAGATGCAGATAACGGCAATCATGCTAGATCTGCGGTACGTTCGTTCAATATTTGTGCTCCAAAAGGAATTTTTGATTGACCGGTATTTTGAAGATCGTAACATTTTTTAATTTTTTGTGACGGTCCTAGTGGCAGCATTATTGATTGATTAAAATTTAATTAATATTAATTTAAATTAAATTAAAAATTATTGAAACATTTAAAACGGTGAGATATCATTTGAATTTATATAAATTTAAACGGTGTTTGAGACTGCTTGAGGGCCAGCTGCATTTCAAAAGCACCAGCAATAAACGAATGAATTTCAAAAAGATATGTACCCTTTGATTTCAGGGGTCCAAGTATGTGTGTGTACATAAATATGTGTAAAATGTTAAAAATATCAACTTGTGTGGCTATCAATAAAGTTGGATTGAATGTATTATATCTAACCTACGAGTTATGCAGGGCGACTAGGGTATAGTTGCTAATCTTTAACTATAATTTGTTTTGTATATGGTTATTGACCTAGTATATTTGAAAATGAACATTAAAGCGCTTTTCTACATTTTTGGGAACCACTTTTTATAGTATTTGTTAGAAATGATCAAATTTATGCAATAAATACTCCAATGATACAGAAAGAAATGGAGAACAATGAACTTCATTGAAATTTAGATATATTTGTTTAACAGGTTTGAAAATTTCTGGGCATTATATATTTAAAGAAAGTTTTCGTACTTCACTGATTTGTTTGTACACATTTATTTCACATTATATAAGTATATTAATTCAATATCTAACTTCTTGTTCAATTCTATTTATTCACACAATGACAAGACGGATGCACGCTGACAAATAACCAGTGTTGCAATCGGACAATAAAATTTTTTTCAGATTTCTCTTCTCTTGAGAACCAACCAGGGTTATTTTTATAAAGCGCAGCTGAAGCTGCGCAAAAAACTGACAACACGCCATGTTGGACCGATTAAGGTTATTTTTTTGAAGAGCGGATGAAGACCGCCGAAAAGTTAAAAATTGATTAATTTCCTGGTAATTTTGGTATAATATAACATAATGTTATATATAAGGTAACACTAGCTATCAGTTTGTAACCGTTTTGTTATTGAACAATAGGTTCAATATTGAGTAAAAGATATTTTGCAATTTATAACAATCGAATTAGTGAAGTGTTAGTGGATATAATAGTGGAAAATATAAAATATATTTAAAATCGAAAAAATACAATTTTCAAACAGTTGAAATTTTCAACTTTAAATCTAAATATCTACAAATAACTATACGTTTTCCAGGGTTATATCTATTCTTGATCTGGAGAATCTCCTCTGTCTGCCAACACCCATTTTAACTGCTGATCAGTATTTTATAAAATAAAAATATTATGAATTATAAACATTCCAAAACACGCAGAATAGTACTGGTCTTGAACAGTTTGAGCAGTAATATTAGCTGACTGAATTTGACATTCCTTTAAACTATAACAAAGGTTATCGGTGACACATAATACACCAAAAGTGGGGAATGTCTTCTCATATCCTACTAACTATACTCGCGCCAGTCGCCATACATAATAGGATGAGAAGGATTTTCTATAGTAAATTGATTAGTTAAAATAAGAATTGTGTGGTTTCAGTAAGCAGCGAAATATGGATTTTCGTTAATTAAAGTTCATACATCTTTGTTTATCTAAATGTTTTGTTATTACTTATATAAGTCTTTTTTCCTTTTCCTTAAAAAGGTTAAATTGTATTTAAATATTTTGTCTACAAAATCACACGAATAAAATTGTACAGATTTCACTCACACTATCATTATAACAAACATTCATTTTATTTAGGTCTTACATACTATACAATAAATATTTTTTACTAAGAACTACATACGAGTACAAATGTTGAGAATTTTTTTTATTTGGGACCAGGTTTGCAAACCGGTGTCAAACCTGTTAATCCACATTTTCTGTATTAATGGAACCAAAATAAAACTGTTACAAAATTTATAATTTTAATTGTGTAAACATGTCACACTAATTAGTAATCGTATATACAAATTGGTACGTCTGTCCTTCAAATGCTATTTGAGACAAAATAATTATAATGTAAGTATGGGTATACATACATACATATGTATGTAGGCTATGTTATTTTATACATTCGGAAATTTCTTGACTGATAGTGGGGTATTTTTCATCTTCCCTCTTGAGTTACAAAACAATTAAAAAAGTACACCTCAACAAAATATTACTTGTTAAATTTCAGGTGATGAAACTTTTTCAGGGCTTTAATTCACTTGTAGTTGTATTTAAAATGTACATCTGTACATGTGTGTTGAATATAATGGATTTTAAGTCGATCGTTGCTTACTGAAGTTGATAATAATAATATATTATATTTTTTTATTGAGGTCCCCTGGAATAACTATACATACATAAGTAGCCTAATCAGTGAAGTTATTTAAGTGGAAGTTGGAAATCATTCGACGAAAACCAATTTGGGGCGATAAACAAAACGAGTGTTAAAAGAATTAGAATTAGTCTACTATTTGCTCGATGTTGTTACGTCTTTTCCATATATCCTTTGTTATACTTATGAATACACGATAATTACTTCAGGTCTTTGTACTTTTGAATTTTAACGAAAAAATATTACAAAACTGGAGTTGAACGATCCAAATTTTGGGTTTTAAGTTTACTAAGTTAAGTTTCTGTATCAATTCATTGATTTTGTTGTGTTTAATATAAATCTCATTATCATCATCTTTTACTACTCCACAACATACTGAATTATATGTTTAGCTTTTTTTAATAACTTTATAGAACCCTTGGTTTGGTATAGAAGTAAAGCAATTATTTTCGAGATATTGAGTTATAAGTGAAAAAGTAATTTCTCCGTTTTTCGTTCAGTTCTTCTCCAAAATCGAAATATTTGCTTCGAAGTTCGAAATAAGTTTTGCTCTCTTCACAATGTTCATCATAATCAAAGACCTCAACCAAATTACCTAATGCGATTTTAAGCCACCAACTTAGTACATACATATAGTATGTATATCTGTTTTCATAGCGTTTAATTGTTTCCCCTTGAAGCGGGCGCCCATTGGAGCCTCGATTATGCGAAAATGTTCTCCCTGCTCATCAGATTCGCTTAAGAACTGCTTTTCTAACCAATTGAGGGGAACATGCAGTAAATGAACCTCGCTTTCGAAAAGGCTTCTATCAGAATATTTACATATTTACCATAATAAACATGAAAGTGTTTGTCAATAACATTAATGATAATTGTCTTTAATGCACTACAAACAATGCCAGTATTAGCAAGATCTTCACCACCTCACACTTGGACCTTATACTAAAAAATATACGACAATACTATTACAAGAAAAATCACAACCCTTACAACAACAATATCGAATTTCTTAAATTTTCACTTATAGCATCTGTCATATACACAAGCCTGACAGACAAATGTTTCACCTCTTTGGAACAAGAAGAAATTTTCTGACTCAATTCGTTTGGTCCAATGCCCCTAAAAAAAAAAAAGAAAAGGTTTTTGCCGTATAGTGCAATTAAAAATGCTCATTATATTATATTGACATTTTTAGTATTTAGTAAATGAAAATACATATCTTTTTGATAACTTTTCGTTGATGTATTTTCCTCAATTACGCTTATGAAACATATGTATCTCCAGATTTTAAAAGATGTAAGTAAGATGTTTCTGTGATTGTGCTCTGCTGGACGTTTTAGGACCAAGTGCCCGCAAGAATCCACTTTAGTCGATTAATTAAGAGGTTTCGGGCTGTGCATACCATATACCCGTATATTTCGCATGGAAAACAGAACCATGATGGAATCATAAGCAAGTGTACCACTATCAATTCAGCAGGTAATATTTTTGGGGAAAATTTTTCAGCAACAAAAACATTCTAGTAATATTATTAAGATTATTATTGAAAAATAAATCAATTAAATAAATTTCGTTTCAATCCAAAAAATGTATGTATGTACGATTCGTAGAACATTTCCAGATTTAATATACTTGTACATATGTATGTAACACGTATGTAAGTAAAAGTAAAGGGAATTTGAACAGAGTAGATGAAAATATTGAACAAGTTCAACCAAAATTTTAACAAGAACCATTTTTGGATGTATGGTATTTTTACCATGCGCTGGAAGCTTTAACAATATACTTAACTGTTGTAGATAAATCTCATTTCGTACTTTCTTTGCAGCGTTTCTTTAATTTATGAATATGTACAAGTATAAAGTATATAAAAACACATAATTACGGTTGAATTATCCATATACACATATACTATATATGGGAAAAACATAAGTTTATGTAAGTACGTTCATGTTTCTAAGATTACTTTTGTTGACCGATCATTATAAATTAAAAATTATCTAAATATGTTAACGCAATGTTAGATGTGTATATACATGTATGAATAGAACTATGTGATATCTTAAATTGTTAGTTCGCTTTCATTTCGAAGAAGCCTTAAAGTAGTCCGTTTTCGAAATGAAATCGTTAGAATTAGTGCTATTACCACTATTTATAAAGCTATAGCTATTATATAGACGTTGTCTCTTCCTGGTAAATTTATTGGTAGCCATGGTCGCGGCTGTTGTGCATATGGTTGGTGATGCTGAGTGCGCTTCTTGTAGTTGTGTTGTCGTTAATGAACTATCCGGCGAATCTTGTATGGTTGTTTCGGCGTCTTCGGAAATTGTAGTCTCCATGATTAATTGTAAAGCATTGGGAACTCTTCGGCCGACATTTGATGATAAATCGGAATTGCATTTGACCCCGGCAATAATATTTTCTGGTTTTGCAATATTTAACTTGGGTGACGTTAGAAATAGTGGTGTCGTAATGGTAGGCATTTCGATATTTGTGACGGGCATGGAGCACTCAATTTCTTCTATTCAGCTGCCATATTTATTGGAAGATGCGTAGCTATTAACTGCGGCAGATCCATTCGATGGCATGTGAGTATCAGGCACTAAATGTGGAGTTCTACTAGATACAGGTGGCAAAATAGGACTGGTTGGCCAATGGTATGTTGCAGCAACATTATTGGATGAGGGAACACTTCTATGCAAAAAGCAAGCAGTTTGATCACGGTTAATAACATTAAATATACTGATTTATTTAAAAAAATGATCAAAAGTTTGTTGGTTTTAAGTATGATTTTTTGCAGGGCAGATATCTGTACTAACAGTTACTCTAAATTTATCAAACTATCTACAGTATTTTAATCCAGCAAAGTACTTAAATTAGAAAATCGTGTTCGGTAAACAACTTCGGTAACTAATAATGTACATTATCCTGATTCTCATTCTTTAGAAACGAGTTTTACTTCATTATAATATTATTAAATGCTGTTTTTGAAAAGGCATGTCATTCAGTTTGCCATTTGGGTTTGTATTTAAAACTGGTGGTTTACTTTTGAATCATCCTGTATCACAGGCTATGTGACAGACAATGGACTTTCTTTTTTTGTAAGAGTAAATTCATACCGCGCTGGAAAATTTCTAGAGAGATCACAAGGGCTTAGGGCTGTTATGATTGGCTTGACGAACCATTCAGGGATGGATAAAAATCACTTCTTAGGTGTTAATTGGTCACATTTGATCACTCTTCTTTATCTAGAATATTACATTAATATGTAATAAATTTATATTTAACCGATTCACAAGAAACAAGAGCCAATGCGAGAATTTCTATTCGAGCACTGCTTTTCTTCAAGTATTTTTCTGCATGAAAGTGTAAAATTTTGTGGAAGTGGATAGGGAGGAAACCGAAAACTTAAGTGCAAGGAGAAGCATTTGCACATACATGAGAAACACAATTCTACACAAACCTTGAGTGGGGAAATAACATCGGAGACGCGTTGAAGAGGGACTGTGGCGATGCCTGGACTGAAGTAGCTGCTGCATCTGGATGTAGAAAGTTCTTGCGTTGTTCTATCCTTTCTTGATGTTGAGTTAGACAACGAGATATTACGTCAGGTAAGCTCTCTAAATGATCCTACAATGACAAATTACACAACAAATTTACATATTACATAATTGTACACTACATATAAATATGTACATATATGTTGAAATTGGTTTTGATAATTTTTAATATACCTGCAATGCTTGCAATTTGTCCTCTAAATTTGTGAGTCGCTCTTCAATAGCATCTTGACGACTTGACATGTCCGAAATAATCTCGTAGACAGTGTTTTGAGTCTAAAATATTGTTAATGTCTTGTTATTCAATTGGCTTACTTATATTTGCAAAAAAATTATAATTGGAAGTGTAAGCTAACACAATTCGACAAAATACATGAGGGAATATTTATCGCTACCCACTACAAGAATGATAAACCACAGTTAGAGTAATTTAAACACGCCACTAACAGTCTGCGTCGCTTCTGTCACTTTGCGCTGCCGTCGTCGAGACGTCAGAATACTAAATATAAGTTTAGAATTAAGCTTCCCATTTAATTCGGTTATTAATTGAGCAGGATCGTTAATTGTAAACAAACTAAAAGTTTAAAATAATTAAAAGTTAGTTAACTTGTATAATCGTCTTTTCGTTGACCTATAAGGTTGTAGTGATAGAATATAGGTATTAGATCATATTAAATCATATTATGAGCTTTCATGATAAATCGTTATTAGCATCAATATAACTAATTGGGCATCATCCAATGGTATCCGTATGATCCAGGAGTTTCTTGTATACATTTGTGTCAAAGAATATGAATTAGTCCGTTTATTAAAATCTATAACATCCGCGGAGCCCACGAATGTAATGTACAATATAGCTCGGATATACGTAACTCATTTGAAGTGAATAAACGTCATGTTTTTAATAATAAATTATTTTTAATCCCAGCTTAATTTTTACTTTAGCTATTTCATTCAATATAACCCTATAGTGTATGGATTATAAAAAGTTCGGAATATAGTACTCTAGGTAGCCGATTCTAGTATTTCTAATAATTAAAATCTAAAATCTCGTAGAGTATTATCACCTGACTGTCTTCGAATGGAAAAGCCACCAACCAGATCGATCATGTTATAATAGGCAGAAGACACGTCTCCAGTGTTCCAAACGTGAGTACATTCCGAGGTCCTATCATCAACTCAGACCACCATCTAACGCACGTACATAAACACAAGGAAGGTTCGACGTCAAGAAGCTGCAATCACAACGATTTTCTACTCGACTTGCACTCCTGCTCTCTGAGAGCACTCATAAACAAGTCGGTATTAGGGAACTGTGGGACGGCATTTCAAGCTCCTTACGTACAACTGCAACTGAAACCATATGTTTTCGCAAAATGCAAAAGAACAGCTGGAACGACGATGAGTGACGTGGCGCAGCGGAGAGAAAACAGACTGTGGAAAGTTACGATCGACCACAACACGAATGAGATGAAATGCTTGACTATGAAGAGCTTGACAAGCTGGCCGACAGGGGTAATGCTCGAAAATTCTATGAAAAAATGCGGCGACAAACAGAAGGTTTCAAGAACGGGACATACACATGGGGAACCCCCAGAGGTGACCTAGTAACCGATGCCCAGAGCATACTTAAATTATGGAAGGAACACTTCTCCAGCCTGCTGAATGGTAGTGAACGCACAACGCCAGCAGAAGGCGAACTCGATTCCCCAATCGATGATGACGGAGCAGATGTTCCATTGCTCGAATATGATGAAGTTCGAACAGCAATTACACATCTGAGGAACAACAAAGCGGCGGGGCAGACCTGAAAAATCCACTAATGACCAGATTTTCCACATGCGCCAAATCTTGGAAAAGACCCGTGAGAAGAGAAGCAGCATGAAAAAGAGCTACCTTTATTCTGAGATGTCTAAATTTGGTATCCTCTCACGTCACTATTGACAGTCATAACTTCGAAGTCGTTGATAATTTCATCTATCTTGGAACCAGTAACAACACCACCAACAATGTCAGCCTGAACATCCAACGTAGAATAACTCTTGCCAACAGGTGCTACTTCGGACTGAGTAGGCAATGGAGAAGTAAAGTGCTCTCTCGAAGAACAAAAACTAAACTCTACAAGTCATTCATTATTTCCGTCCTACTATATGATGCAGAATCATGGACAATGACAACATCTGATGAGTCAAAGTTACGAGTTTTCGAGAGAAAGGTTTTGCGAAAGATTTATCGTTCTTCGCTCGTTCGCCACGGCGAATATCGCATTCGATGAAACGATGAGCTGTATGAGATATAAGACGATATTGACATAGTTCAGCGAATTAAAAGATGTATTTTCTATATGTATCTATTCAGAGATAAAAGTATTTTACAACTTCATTTGATAGAATTTCGATTTATAGTTATTAACATCAAAAACGAATTGAACTAATATTTAGTGTATGCAAATCTATCGCATAGGAGAGTCTTATAAAAAGAGTTATATGGCAATGGAAATGATCTATAACTTTTGTATACACGTGAAAGACATAACTTCAAAATATATGTGAAAATTCATATAATTCAGTTTTAGAGTTTTTTTTTATCTTGTACAAAACTTTGTTATTTTCATTTTATTTGGTATGATCGAACCTTCTTATATCCTCAAAAATCTGTTTTTCTTTTTTAATTTAAAATATTTACTTTTTCTCTTTATATTGCATAATATCGGAAATAGAACCTAATTTTCAATCAAAAATTTCAAGTCAAAACTGTTTCTTTTTTGTTTCTTCTTCTACTTCTTTAATGACATAGACACCGCTTACGCTGTTATAGTCGACTTAGCATCAGCCGAAGCTGTTTTTTACTCATTCATTTGGGGCGTTTTTACGTGGCGGGTCGCAAATCCAGCGCACAACCCTTCATCTACCCTTAATTTCGTAGTACATATGATATGTATAATGAAACATCAGTAAAAAATCAGTTTTAAATCGAATTTTGAACAGCTTTAACTTTTTTTCAATTTCCCCGAATTAAATTTTTTGGTTAAATTAAACTTAAAATTTCACCTTTCCAACACTATATGGTGTGGCACAATGTGATTGGTAGCACTGGTGATATACGACTGCACCGACATCTATTGACAAAATATGAAAAGACTTTTTTCGACTATTCAATATTTTAAATTAAAAGAAGTAAGGAAGTGCTAAGTTCGGGTGCAACCGAACATTTTATATTATATTTTATATTGCAATTTGCAAGAAATAAAGCCAGGGAAATACTTTAAGATGTAAAACGTCAACCAGAGGACAGGATTCCAGGCAATTTTTTATATAGTACATATACCTTATATAACTCATACACTGACCGACAAATTCGGCATACTATTTGTTAGAGAATCGAAATTCTTACGTACGTAGTATATGGGAGTTGGGGTAGTATTGTCCCGATTTTATGTATTATACACTAAAAAATTTTCCATATGTTTAAGGTATCTCACATACAATCACCAATCATATGGAGCAAGGTCAGCCGGATGTTCGAAAATCCTGGTAATGATTATATGGGGGCTAGGTCAAGTTTTCGCCCAATTGTGTCTATTTTAGGCGCTATGATATATGAATGAGAAAAATATGTTATGTAATCTTCAGTGAGATAACTCAAATGTTGGGCGTATATCCAGCATAAAGTCACCTGGAAATTCGAAAATCTTTATATTAGGTATATGGTCGCTCAGGGAAGTATTGGCATGATTCAACACATCTTTGATGCACAGAATTATTATTGTTAGCAATGGATTCTATCTCAATTTCGATTGGATATCTCACATATTGACAGATATTTTCGGACAAATGTCAATTATAGATACTGGGGTCAACATATTCGCTACCAATTACTGCAAAATTTTATTCCGTCATACTAATTACTTCTTGATTTATGTACTGTAAAGTGAAAGAATCAAATGGAATTGTGTTATATGGGTAGTAGGCGTAATTGGTTCTCATAAATCACTTTCGTTTTATCTCGTAAGTAAAATTTAATGTCTCTGGCGTAATGCGTTATTGTTTTATCGCGCTTTTAGTAGTTTTGAACAGTAGCGTGGGGGTTATCTTCCGAGCATAAAAATTTTTGATGTTTTAACTTTTGTGGTTTAAGAGATATATGCAGTAAATATATTAAAGGGTGGGGCCACGCCCACTTTTTCTAAAAATTTTACCCACACGTGCCCTTTTCTACTGCAATCCCCTGTGCCAAATTACAGTTTTATATCTTAATTTAGTGCTTAGTTATGGCACTTTGTAGACATCGGGAACCTGTATACGAAGTTTCATCAAAACATCTCATTTTTTACTCAAGTTTATATATATAACCCATCTATATCATTCCGATTTATATGATACGTACAACCGAGAGGTGTACAAAATAATATTACTCTGTAGCAACAAGCTGAAAGAGCACAAAAATACGATTTGAAGGTAAGTTCAAACCAAATTAAAAATATTTTATTTTTTTCTAGAAGATAAAAATCTGAGTTATATGAAAATTTCATATACATTTTGAGGTTGTGTCGTAAAAGGATGTAAATAAAAGGATTTAAGTAAAAGGATGTAATAAAGAAACCAACTGTCGCTGTGATCAGGGATAATAATAACTAAGAACGAATTAATTAAAAACCAAAAATTCCAAAGAAAAATGGAGTCACATCTATAGAGAACGCGATGCATTGTTATAATTTTACAAACTAAAGCTGATCTTTGCACGGGATATCGAAGAAGAAGGTGAGGAAGTTACTGACGAAGACACAGAAGAGGCGAGTTAAGCCTTGCGTAAGACGAAATTAAAGAAACCCATGCGTTCATCAGGTCTGTCAGTCCACAATAATGGATTTACTGCATTCCATTAAATTAGTTTATACAAATTTTTCACATCCTTAACGTTCCTTTCTCGACTTAAATCATTTTTGCCGATGCTTATGTACAGACATACTATGCCAATTTATCTATTTATATTCGATTGTAGAAGTTATGGTAGTATAGAAAGAAAACTAAGTACACCTGCATTAAAAAATAACTAAATACGTAGCCTTACTTCATTGAAAGATACACATATCTATGAGCAATGAAAATGTAACCTCTGTGTCAATATTTGAAAAATAAAATACTTGATTATATATACCATATATTATATTATTGTAAGTGGATCAAAATTTAATGTTTAATGTAATGAAGACCAAGTGCTAATTATTTCATCCCTTACCTTCGCCATGTCTGTTATTGTATTGGCATTATCCATTAGTTTTCGTTGATCCATTTTAACCTTTCGTAACCTGTTTGACATCAGAAAAATCGAAAAATTCATTAGACGAAACAATTGTCTACTTACTTAGATATTTTACGAATAATATAAATTTCAATTTATTGCAGTTGAATTTAGTGTTGAAAAAATTGTGTTTTGTTAAAATCCTTTGAAGAACTATTCTTTATATAAATAAAAATGAGTCGCTATGAGTCCATGAAACATTGGGACATCAATAATTGTATTATATGCGTATTTATTTCCAGTGATTTCATAAAAAAATATTAATCTTTAATAATCCAGTGGTTCATTTACAATTCTGCATGTTTTCATAATTAACAGAACATTTTTATTTTATTTCGTCATAAATATTTCCTCCTTGCATTACTAAAAACATTCCCAAACATGATACGACTTTTCCAATAAGGATGATTTGATTTCTAATTATCATTTCGGCTACTTTTAATATGTGGTGATCTGTAATTTTTTACATTGTATTCAGTAATGTTTACAATTTATAAATTATTCAATTTTATTATCAAATAATCGTTCTCTAATTGCAATTTTCGTCGAGCAAGTATTGTTGAAGATCGCAAATTGCCGATTTCAAGACTTTCTCAAGAATTGGGACCATTTCAAGCCACAACCTGGTGGATTTTTAGGTTGCATTTGTATAAAATTGCTCTCATTCAAGAATTGAAGGCATTGGACCGTCACCGGAAACGTCGTGAATTGGTTTATTTTGCCTTGGAATAACTTGAAAATGATACTGATTTTTTTAGAGAAAATCATCTTCTCCGATGTGGCTCATTTTCATCTCAGTGGGGCGGTTAATAAACAAAACTAACGATTATGGTGCGAAGATAATCAACAAATTATTCATAAACAACAATTATATTCACCTAAATTGGCAGTTTGGTGTGATTCAGTCTGTACTTCTTTAGAAATGAGGCGACACTGAGATACTGTTACCGTCAATGGAGAGTGGTATATATTAATTCTAACCAACTATTTATCTACAACATCTGGTTCCAACAAGATGGCGCCAAGTGCCACACAGCATGTGCAACAACCGAATTATTGCGAGGAATTCGATTATTTAAAGAATATATTGGTATGACCTACCACCATTAGACTACCTTTTGTGGGGTTATTTGAAGTCATTGGACTTTATCAATAAACTAGACTGTCTTCAAGCTTTAGAAATCAATAGTGAACGTGCTATTCACACCCTGTTAATTTAGTGGAAAAAGAACTCGAAAAATTTCTTCATCGAATTCATTCCTACAAAATAAGTCTTGAATCAATTAGTATGTTTTTTTTAAAAATCATTTCACTCTTATTGGAAGACCCTGTTAATGATTATAACTGACGTTGAGTAACTAATTTAATTTTAGAGACCCCATATCTAGTTTTTAATGTAAATAGATTATTATAGAATAGAGATTTCAAGAGAATAGCTAAAATTTATAAAATTAAAATTTTAGGAATTATTTTAGAGCCATTACAAAAATATCATATTAATATACACATATTAGTTTATTTAAAATTACCTTTACTTTTGTTTAAAGAACAAAATATTTATTTTTAATATATATCATGATAATTTTTGTTTATGAGTCGGGGAAGCCTTAAGTTTTGTATCTAGAAACAATCAACGACCATGAAATTTATATGACTTCTAACTGAAATTTGAACTATTCACAATTATTTACTTATTTTAAACAGCCGCATATTTCTTTACAATGTTTGGCTTTAATAATGCATGTTAAGACTACTTAATATATCAAATAATATTAAGCGCTTAAGTGTATCCGACATACAACGGGAAACGGAAATATTCTTCACTAAATTTTATTTTATAAAATAGCCGAAACATTTTGAACACTGAACTTTCTTATATGTATTTAAGAGAATAGCTTAACTATATAGAGAAAATGATTTAAAAAGATTGGTTACTAATTTCCATTGATTTACTAAATCTGTAAGTGGATCAGATAAAAAATTTTCTTAAATATAATTCGATTTTAATCTAAGCTAAAAACACCAAACATCAATGGAACGATGAAATATAAAATTCAATCACCTTAAAGTACATATATCACTTACAGTTCCTTGCTTCGACGAAAGTATTCAGCTTAAAACAACTTTTTAATCAATAAATATGTACGCACCCTTATACATATGTACGTCTATATATGTATTTGCATGTACACATGCTCGTTCTAATTTTTGGGACAAATTTGTTGAAAAATACGAAGCAGTTGAAATAAATTTCGTCGTTAAGATTGCAGAAAATCGTATCTCAATCTCATGTTGACCACTAAAACTGGGGATATTTCTGTAGTTTCTAGAAGAACCATCACACAACATGATTAAATATTGTTGTGATAGATAAGTGTGAGAGGTAAAGAAGAAGAAGTAGAGACTTCTGCAATCTTAACACTAACGAAATTGTGGATATTAATATTCAATGTGAAAATTGGAGTTTACATTTTAGTGTAAGTCCACCAACAACACCGACAAGCTTACACAATGTTAATGGGAAAGCAGAGAGACACTTACAATTACTAAAACTAGGGGTAGTAAATGTGTGAAGCAAAGTGATCATATTGGCTTGAGATACGAAATTCTAGAAAATTAACGACTGTTACATAAATTTTATTTTTATTGTTATAATTAACAACAGCTGATCCATATATGTCTTATGGCTTGTGTATTTTTATGTAAACAGGGCTTTACAACCTAGTTACAGGCTAGTAAAACGAGTTTAGATTAACTTTTTTAAATCATGAGCTGATATTTATATGCATATTCAACACCTTCCATGTGGTTGATTAATACAAGTATTAGAAATTCCTAAAGCATACTCTAACGTCCACGTATGCAAATGTGGATATAGCCACTGAATGATTATAGGGGTGCCAAAATGGAATTTACACACATGCATTTATTATTGCGAGAATTGTGAATGTATATGGAAAAACACATTATATTTAAATTAGTATTGAAATAAAAAGGGCTTTAGCCCAAATGTTATAAATAACATGCTTGTAAGCAAACATTATTAGTTCGAAATTTTAGTGGAGGGTCGCTTGAGGTGATTATTGGGTGGGACAAAAAACTTGCAAAGCAAAATTATTAATATTATATTAGTATAAAGTTTGACCAGTGCTCAAATGGCACTGAAGAAATTGAGGAATATTGTCTGTTTGTACAATGTTTAATTTTGAATAACTATTACGACTTTCACAGAGTACATTGCACATAAAAATTGTGAGAGAGGTTTCTCTAGAATACTCACGCGTATATAGCTAGAAGGAACTTTCTTTGGTGGGTTCTTACACGTCCGGGATTAACCCGTTTTACTAGTCTTGTATGTTTGTAAATGAGCCAAGTTTCACGAAGAACATTTGCCGCTGCATTTTTCAGCTAAAATTATGACGCAAGGAAGAAATGGAATAAATTTTAATGAATAATTTTAATATAATATGTTAGAATAACGTGCATTTTATTATATACATACATACATAAATATATAATATGGATATATGAATAGAAGTAAACCAATCTTGTATTGAGAAAATTTTATATCATATATATTTTTGCTAAACTAACTTATGTGGAATTCCGACTTATTAGAGTCTTTTTTTATCTAACTTATTGTTTTATTTCAATCATTTTTAAAATAAATGTTTTGCGCTAATTATATTATAAATTATTAAAATGTTCTCTCCTATTGTAAAAATAATGATTGATTGAATAATATTAGAGATTATACCCACGCCACCAAAATATTGCCGTTAGATGAATATTAAGAGTTTACCTACGCCACCAAAATATTGCCGTTAGATGAATATTAAGAGTTCAAGAGCAGTATATTATATACCTACCACAAATAAATTGTGGTATGAGCCATACATAAGTAAGCTCCCTTGTAACTTGTAAATGTTTACTCTTTAAGATCTGAAGAGAGTACTCTAGATAAAAAAGTATTGCATTTCTAATTCAAAACTCCGTTTCGAAAAATAACTGCTAGCTTAGCAAAGTTGGATTAACTGGATGAGTTACGAACACAAATTGTTTTATAAACGAGTTTTATACGTAAATATATTTATTATCATACACGTAAAAATTGAATTGGTGTTTTGTATAAATCACTCTATGTAGAAGTATAAAACGTGGTCTTAAAATTATTTTCCAGATATTGGGCTATGGAATTAGGCTCGAGCAAATCCATTAAAAAATTGTAAAACAAAATAAATTAATTCATCAACTATGCTGTAAAAATATTTTGATTTAAAAAACGTTAAAGTTAATTTATTAAATGACTAAGTTCCAATCAAATATTAAGTGGAAGCTTTAAGTTATTTCAATAGTGAGGAATTGGTAGTAACTACTTGCGTATAAATTCAAATTCGCATATACGGAAATTGTGAGTATATGATATTTAAGTGGAAACTGTACTCTCAAAATGTAGAATTGGCGGTAAAGTCCACATTCATGTCGTTTATTGTTGAGTTTCTGATTATAATTTGAGGACAACTTTGTATAAAATTATTAATGCACGCATACTTAAATAAATAAGCTTTATAAAGAAAATATAATTTTCAATTAATTTGGACTAATTAAAACGTTAAGAACAGTTAATAATAATACTATCTTATGAAAAATATTATTAATTAAACGAGTTATTTGCATAAATATAATAAAAATGAAAGTTTAAGAAGATAAAAATATGATTTGTATTGTACTTTTAGGAATATCTAAAACTTTTTTCGAATACCCTTTTCGTTAGTTGTGTATCCATCATGAAGTTGTGAACATGTTTTTCAGCCCGGGTGAGCTCCAATTTTCTCGAAACGACCGCGACAAGCAAGGCCGTGCAACCGGCACCCTGTAATTAGATATAAATTGTTATTAAATATGTAAGTATTATGAACATATTCCATTGTCCCAAATGTATATTTGGTATCTGTCTGGTGCTTTAACACATCAGTAGCAGTTGTTTTCGTAGTGTTTCTAAATCTCAACCCGACGTTTCCTAAATACATACTATTTTATTATCTATATTATATAATAAGTTACGGCTCTGTTTTACACTCTGATGTGTTGAAAATATTTTTTGCAGTTCGTCTTATTTAAGCTCTTTAGATTAAGTAAATGATCACTATTAATACTACATATCTGACCATTTATAATAATTATTTATATGTGTTAAATCTGTGTGAAGAACCATCGTAAAATTTGAAAGAACAACGTGCGTGAATATAATTGTAATCAATCTTTATGATGGATATTCATCACTAGTGCGATGCAAAAAAACGCAACGACAAAATCTCGCAACTAATATAATGCTAGTTCTTTGTTGCCAACAACGACATGAAACTGAGCTTCGTAATTTATGAAGGACGCGTGGTGGTTCAGAATAATAACGGATGTTCCAAATTATGAAAACATTGATTTCAAAATTGGTGCTCCGTAATTGAACTTTCCCTAGGTATTATTTGATAATATTATGCATGGTCAGTATAATTTCACATCAATTGAATGCTAAAAAATTCTGTTTATCTATACATATTTCAATCACAACAGTCTAGTCAAAAATATTAGTTTTTTTTTTAATTTTGCGAAGATTTGATACAATAATTTTTATTTTAGCAATAATAATTCAATTTAGTAATTTGAAAGGTAATTAATAAATGTATGTACTACTATGATGAAATTGAAAGGCAAATTTTTAATTTTTTTTTTTCTGTAAGTTGGTAGTACTGTTAGTGACATCTGTGCTAAATTTCACTTCAAAGTATGTATTCGAATTTGAGTTACGTTTCGTTTTCTAAAAGTGAATTCTTCGATTTTTACTATGTCTGAATTTATTGAACAAAGGGTGCCATAAAGCACCCCCTCATACTGAATTCGTTATTCGTGATCATTTCGGCATATTTTCAACTAATATCGTGCCGCAACCGCCGCATTCGCTTGATTTCCCTTTTTGTAACTTCTGGCTATTCACCAAATTCACATGACCACTCCGAGGTCACCGTTCTGACTCAATTGTAGATATAAAAGCTGAATCGAAGAAGGCTCTGAAGGACGATTTTCCCAAATGCTATGATTAATGAAAAATTCGTTGGCATAAGTGTTTTGCAGCGAAAGGGGATTACTTTGAAAGAGTTGAAATGGACAAGATTCACCTTTCAATTTGATCACAGTAGTAAATCTTTTTATTTTAAATCCCATAAAACTTTCTCTAATTTTTTTTTTCAAAGAGAGCTTTGTATATAATAAGTAGACACATATGGATAATTAGGGGCTAAATTTTTGCTACTTATAATAAAATCAAAAGTTTTAATTAATTATTTACTATATATCACCATAAAATTGTTATATGCAGCTTTGAGATTTTTTCACTTTTAAATTTGTAAGTTATGTAGTATTATCTCAATTGAGTGGAATGTTTTTATAAACGACTTTTCTTTAGAGCTAAACAGTCTCTTTATTTTAATTATCATTAAACAGCAAATTGAATTGTGGGAATAAAAAGCAATTATTGCTAAACAAATTTCTTTAGTCCATTAATTCACCCGTTTAAATCGGGCAATTTCAATGTTTTATTCACCTATGCATACACTCTCAGATATCAGATATACAGATATCTAAATTTGAAATATTATGATGTAATGAGCACATATTTCATTATTAATCGTTTTGAAAAAAGTATGACAAAAGTGGTTGAAGCTTAACTTTTGTTATTTGTAACGAAACTTTTCCTTATTATTAGTAATAATTTAATTTAAAAAACATGCAGTACCCCAAATATAAATTAAATTCTTATGTAAATGAATGACTAAAAATGTTCATTTAATAATTTTTTCTGTTTATGTAATGCCAAATACAACACAAACCAATTTAATTAAAATAATATATTTTATGGATTTCATATATATATATGTATATATATATTTTACAATTTACAAAACGGTTTGAATAAACTAAAAAAAAAAAAAAAAATGTATGTAGATGAATCTATTTTAATAATGTAATATAATAGAATTAATTCAACATTCAATTGAAATTCTTATCTTATATCGAATGATATCATTGTAAAAATGTACTTAATTTTCATTTCGTAATTTCGAAGTCTTCCAAATTGGATTGCTTACAATATGAACTTACTAATATTTAGTAGATATGATATTGATATTTTATGATATAGATAATTTTGAAGATATATATATTTTAACTTATTGTTAATTTTTGTAAATTATACAATATACCTTGGTGTATACTTATGGTACATATGTTTTACTTATGTATGTACAGACATGTACGTGTCGCAAGCTGCAGCACTCACCATTATTCCTGTACTGACGGCAATACCACGTCCACAGTACGTATTTGGTACAATATCACCGAAACCGACACTTAAAAATGTTATTGCTATCAGCCACATTGCATTCAAAAGATTTGCATGTTCTTCGTCATGAAACCTGTACGGGTTGTAGATACACACACACATAAAAAGGGTTGTTTCTGTATGCAACAGTGCGAAATGTTCAAGCAAATATGAAAAAATACAATAACTTTTTAAGTTGATGTTTAATGTGAGGCAACTGCTTTCGTACGAGTATGCGTTAATAAAATGGTGTTAAAAGGTTACAAATACACAACGTATATATTTGCACTTATCCACATAAAACACATTATATGCACATATGTATTCATCGAGAGATTTTCACGAATGTATGTACATACATATCTTACTAAATTACCTTAGTGCACATCATAATTTATGCTTTCTATTTGTTGAAATATAAGTAAACGTGGGTGCCTTTTTCACGAATATTAACTTTTAATAAAAATTGTAAATACTTCATCGATATAAATTTTTTTTTTTAAAGGCGCCTCAAATTGCTCCTAATTTAGTCAGTTAATATACGCTTAGTCATTTTATTAATGATTAATTTAAGAACTTGTTTGAAGCGCCTACTTGTAATTATTTATCTGAACTCATTGAGGAAGGTAGCTTTTAAATAGATTTTATAATGTCTATTTAAATTATAAAGAATTGTTACATTTTTTTTTTTTTGTTAAGAATGAATGCAAAAGGTGCGCCAATTCACAATATTCACACACCATAGTCACTTACAATAAATTGACCGAATCAGCTGTTCATATATCATTAGATTCTGAAATGAGTGCTCGCGTGCCCTTGCATATTTCCGTATAGGATTTTTGCATTTTTTGTCATCGTGCAATCTTGCAAGAGCAAGAGAGTCCCCTAATATTTTAACACACATAAGTTTAAAAGTGTCTGGTGTATTATTATACCTGGAGGAACACAGGACGTTAACTGTCTATATATTAAAAATAGAATATATATTTTTTATATTGTTTTTTTTGTTTGACTATATAGATCTGATTGAAACTTTTATATTTGCAAACCTATATATTTTTTTTGGTAAAAATGCATAATTAATGATTCCCTTTATTTCAAATGTAAATCAAAGCTACATGATTAGTAATAGCATTTTGAAAATTTAATTATGGAAAAAAAATACAAAATTTACCATGCACTCAGTCATCGAAATGTGCGATAAAGGTTGGAAAGCTGATTGTAGCAAATGCAAAACCTCGTTGACAAAAAATTAAATATTGGCATTAAAATTTTCAAAATTGTTGATTTAATCAGAATATGATTTGATAATTACTTAATATTTTTTATATACACATACATAGAAGTCATGAAATGTGATTGAAAAGAATTAAGCAGAATGAATGGCATAAGGGAGAGTAAGAAAAGTGATGAAAATTGCAAAGTATAAAGCAGAGCTCTCTTTATTGATTTCAGAGGTTATGTCCACTTGTGAATGTGAATCGAAAGTACATACAATTATTTGAGAATACTTTGGAGATTTAGTAATATTTGTAAGACATTTTTCGCTTAATGTAATTGATCGGCGCCCGATATTGATATATGTATATATCGAAGGAAAATTTTTTTAAACCACTTTTTTCACAAAAACCGACGTTTTTTTAAGCCGCCGTTTTCTACAAAATCAATATTTTGGCTAGTCTTGCAATCATTACTTGTATTCATCTATAATAATATTAAATCTCTTTCGGTTTTTGGATAAAATGTTTTAATGGATTTCATATAATTTTAAGCAGTGACTCCTTCTTCACCATCAAATACTCGTTTTAATCTACATTTCTTTTCTTATTTATTAAATAAAATGCCTCATCCATAAAAAAAATCTCAAAATACGCTTTTATTTTACTAGCGAGTGGATATAATAATTTCACTAAATTTTTTTAAAAATTCCAATTCCGACTTTTGGATTTTCTCTTTTAAATTTTATAATTAGCATAAATTAAAATAGCTTTCGATACTTTCAAATAATATTATATTATTTCCGTTAAATTTTAGCGTGAATTTGAATAAGTATCCGAACGAAAGGATGCGTATATGAAATATCATTCTTAAACGACAACCCTCAAAAAGCCTTTAGTCAGATAATAACTACTATTCAAGTATCTTTACTTATATACATATGTATGAAGGTTCAGGGAAATCACATACAAATTATCAAAAAGTTCTTAAAATACAGTTAATTGTAAATACATACACTAATACAAACGTTTATTATGTACATACATACTTAGATATGTATATGTACGTACACGTTACATATATACTATGTATTTATAGACGTTAAACAACCAACCAACTGCTGATCCGTTACCTCGGCTTATACTGCATTACCAATTTGCATACATACTATTTACATATTAATAATATCAATTAAGGCTGTTTACATGTATGTATACCCTACGTTTAGGTTGAGATTTATCGTATTATCGTTCAATGATGGTACTACCGTGGTTTGAAAAAAATTGTCTCTGTAGGGTTTCAGGTCTTATTGTGCACATGTGGGAATTTTTACGTTTTGTTACGTTTGCCAAAATACTTACCACCATGCCACATGTAAGCGTTATACCGCGTCCACAATAGGTGTTTGGTACAATATCACCATATCCCACGCATAGAAACGTGATGGCTGTTAGCCACATGGAGTTTAGCAAATTTGCGTGCTCCTCGTCGTGGAATCTTTCGTGATACGAACGCACAGTAGATTGGTTGCATAGTATTTGCAGTAGCAGTAGTAGTAAAGTAGTGGTGGTAGTGGTTGGTAGGTGAAAAGTGGTACAAACAAATAAACAGGTTTGTGAAAATGTGAAGATATTTCGTTTCCTTTTCATGAAAATCAATTCTGTTAAACTTTTTACAAAAATGGTGGACTAATGCTTCAACAAATTAAATACAACAAAAAAGTTTATTTAAATATACAATTAAAAGCAAGTATGTGATTTTAATTGTTCAATTAAATTTTAAAATGAAATGTATGTGGTATTCATATAAATTGGCTTACATATGTATGTAAATGTTTACATCCAAGATATTTACATATTGCAGGTAAAATATCTACTAAATCATTCAATACGCCAAAATTTGTTTGAATAGTATGCTAAAATTAAAATGTTGTTGTGCTTGTTGTACCGCAAGTTTGTCTGAATTTAATTGTGTATTAAGTAAATATAGGAATAATCTATAGCGTCAATGATTAGCTCAATACTTTAATTTTATGTACGGATATAAATTTTTTGAAATGAGAAAGATTTTGCTATGATATGTATGTGATYTTGTGTGTATGTATGTATGTATCACATCATTGTTAATAATTGCTCTTATATATCATATATATGTATAAACGTATATACGTATTAAAATATACCAAATAATGTTTTCCATCTATACCAATGCGTGTGTCATCGCGAAATGTAAATGTGTATGAATTTCAATGTTTACTAAATGTATGTATTTAATCTTGTGTCTGAAAAATTACCATGCTTAATTTTAGTAATTCAAAAACATACATATTAATGCAATAATAAATCGAAAAAGACACACTAAACGGAAACCAAGCAATTATTTTTTCACGACACACTTCTAAAAATTTAGCGTAGCACAATTTAAATAACATGTTACGATATTTACATCGACAAAAGTTTAAAAGTCGTTAACTTGCTCTATAAGTATAAGCGACAATCTAGGATTAATAAAACAAAAATTTAAATAAAAAAAAACGTTTTTAAATTTTKTTATTAATTTTATATCAAACACATCTGTAAGGTTAAGATGAACGCAATGGTTTTTGAAAGGTTCGGTTAATTTCCAAGTATATGGTACTTACTCTTAATAAAGCGGTTACTTGATACCAAGGCATTCAACTTATGAATACTAAATTAGTAATTGTATCTTTTCTTTCAAGCTTAGCGAGACTTTACAATTTTGTTCAATTTACCTGGCGATAAAGTTGATCTTCTATTATAATTAGTTTATCCTAATTATATTATTCACCGTTCGCTATTGTAAGAACCATTTTTTTAGAACATTTTCATTCATCGCCTCTTCCATGACGCGTTTTTATACTAGCTTGGCTATCCCAAACTTAATTTTTGACAAAAATAATCCAGACGGTCCTTTAGAATATAACACCTCTCTTGTGTACGGATTTAAATTAAAAGTATGCTTTTTAACGCTTATAGAATGAATTATAGTAACACGTCTAGAAACCATAGATTAATTAATTATTTTTATACACATATAACCAGAGAATGTAAAATATAATTCATCCAGGTTTTAACAAACAAATAAAGCGTATGTTGCAAATTCAATAGTAATGTTGCGATTGAAAGGTCAATTCTTCATCAAAATAGTCATTTCGTTCGTGTTAGATCATGTAGAATAAGTAAATTGAGTAAATAATTTTAATTTATCAGAAACTGTTAGTATATATTGAATGTATACGCGACAATATATCATTTAGTTCAATACTATACTTTCATATGTTTTACTTATATTTACTGATAAGTTGGTTGGTTGGTTGTTTATTCAGAGACGAAGCCACCGAACTTAATGAAGAACCATGGCTGATTCCCATAAAACTTGTCTCGCTTTGCTTGACTTATTTAACAACAAAGCGAAGAAAACATATGTCAGAATGAACGCTTTGTTTTTTGTATTTATCTCTAAAAATGGCGACTGCAAAAAATATGGATATATTATATTTAACAAAAGCAACATTGAATATTTCGGTCAAAGCAAAAGTCTGACGCAAAGCGAAGCTAAAGTTATATGTGAATTAGCCATAATTAGCATGTACTACAACTTCGATATTTCTCTTCATTCCACTTGTGTTCAAAATATTTTAAATATAATAAACAAATTAAATAGCAAAATATAGAAATATAGATTTGCATACATACATACCTACCTATTGGGTGTTTTCATGAAAACAGTGTTGGAAGAAAATCATCATTTTAAGTAGCAGAAAATCTTACATTAATAAAGTCTTATACTATACTAGCTTTCCCCGGCTTCGCTCGCATTGAATCCCTTGAATGAATATCAAAGATTATTAATAATATCAAATAACTGAATACCATACATAATATGTACACGTATTTTCATCAATGCTTTTGATGCATTTTTGTTTTATTAGATTTCAAAATTTTTCGACAAACAATCATATCTGGCGACACCTATTTGTTTAGATTTTGAAATCTATTTTACAAACAGAAACTGAATTCCAAATTTCTTGAATGGAAATTTATTTCATTATAGTAGGTGATTTTGCTGAAGAAGGACCTTCTGCAGGATAAAGGAATAACTGAGTTATTTTCACGTCTTTCGGTGCTGTGGTCCGGACGTTCTACGGGTACATAATGAAATAGTGTTAAGAGCGAAGTTTTTCAAATTTGAATGAATCTACTAATGCTGGTAATTAGTTAATAGTGAGATAAGGAGTGATTGTTTTATGAAAAATGTTATTGAAACCATTTCGACATTGTCCGCAAAATTAATATAAAAAAGAGTGTATGAAAAAATATTTATTTGTAGATAATTTTCATTAACTTATAAAGACATTTGAGAGAGAGATGACCAAATAGATAGACGGGCTCGAAGCATTAGTTGGAAATTGTTCTCAAACTTTCATTATACCCTGAACAGGGTATATTAAGTTTGTCACGAAATTTGTAAAACCCAGAAGGAAGGGTCGGATACCCAATAAAGTATATACATATATCAATGATCAGTATGTCGAGCTGAGTCGATTTAGCCATGTCCGTCTGTCTGTATATATACGAACTAGTCCCTCAGTTTTTAAGATATCGTTTTGAAATTTTGCAAACGTCATTTTATCTTYAAGAAGCTGCTCATTTGTCGGAACTGCCGATATCGGACCAYTATAACATATAGCTGCCATACAAACTGAACGATCGGAATCGAGTTCTTGTATGGAAAACTTTCACATTTGACAAGATATATTCACGAAATTTGGTATAGATAATTTCCTGAGCCAGCAATGTAATATCCGAAGAAATTGTTCAGATCGGATTACTATAGCATATAGCTGCCATACAAACTGAACGATCGGAATCGAGTTCTTGTATGGAAAACTTTCACATTTGACAAGATATATTCACGAAATTTGGTATAGATAATTTCCTGAGCCAGCAATGTAATATCCGAAGAAATTGTTCAGATCGGATTACAATAGCATATAGCTGCCATACAAACTGAACGATCGGAATCGAGTTCTTGTATGGAAAACTTTCACATTTGACAAGATATATTCACGAAATTTGGTATAGATAATTTCCTGAGCCAGCAATGTAATCTCCGAAGAAATTGTTTAGATCGGTTAACTATAGCATATAGATGCCATACAAACTGAACAATCGGAATCAAGTTCAGGTATGAAAACTTTCACATTTGACGTGGTATCTTCACGAAATTTGACATGGATTACGGCTTAAGGTAATAATATAATCTCAGAAAAAAATTTTCAGATCGGATTACAATAGCATATAGCTTCCATATAAACTGAACACATTACTAACAAAAATACACCTATGAAGGGTATTTAGCTTCGGTGCAACTGAACGGTTTTTCTTTTTTTATTATCGATTGCAGTCATGCCGATTTCAATACCAAACCTCTTTTCATAACCGAAAGTTAATCGAGTTTTAACATTTTCCTCATGGTTATGTGCCTTCATTATAATTATTTAGTACTTACAGTACATGTGTGTTAGATGATGCCGTCTAAACTCTATTCAATATGTATAGTATGCCATTGTAATCCATATAGTAATATATTAACAGTACTGTGCAACAATTGGGTAAGTTGAACCTTTTGAGCGTTATGTTTTCCATATTTTTATTAGGATTAGTAGATTTTTTTCGAGTGTCAATAATTGAGCGAACGTTTCCAATTCATTAGTTAAAGGTTCCCGATATCATTTGCTACAATCATGAGACCTAATACATACCTATTTTTGATCCCAGAAATGTTAGCTTCTCATGAGTTTTAGTTTATTTTCTGTGTAAAATAGTCGGAGCACATAGTATATAAATGTCTGCACATACATATACACGCACTTAGATAATATAGTTTATTATGTATTAATACAAATAATTAATATTTTATCATTAACAGAAATCAGATGCAATTATTAGCATACTCGTACGATTAGACGATAGTGTAGATTCAATGAGAACATCATAAACACAAGCAAAGCAGAGTACTGTCACAAATACTTTTAAAACGTACATACATACATACATTAAATATACACAGGTATTTATTTAAGATATGCTGTTATTTTGAAAAAATAACGAAAAGCTAGTGTAATGTGTGAAAGTAGTTTATATTCGCTTAAAACGAATTTATATTAATTTATACTATTGTAAATGTAGTATGTAAAGCCAACGTCACTAAGATCAAAATTATAACATGTCTCTGAACTACTTTTGTTTGTATTTGTATATGTATATACGCATATGTACACTTACAAAATTATGTGATATAGAATTTCCAAAGCTGACGATTGCTATCCAGAAAAATACTGCTTAAAAACTATTTGTGTTTTTTAATCTGTTGCTTAATAATGTTTAGATAAAACTTTACGATAAATGTGCATGTCGAATCGTAATGCTAAATCTAATATATGTAAGTATTTCTGTGTATTTATTTATTTTGAGAAATTACATAAAAAGCATTTATACAGTTTTCATTTATTCTGTAAAGCGGTTGCCTTTGGAATTAAATGTCAAAGCTCTGCCAGAATTTCCAAGATGGAAATTTTCTTCTTTGACTATTGTTGAAAGCTGGTAACTAAGGCCGAATTAAGGGCAGGGCTGGCGGATCCTTGTTACCTGTATTCAGAATAATATTCAAAAATTTACAAGTATAAACAAGAGAAGAGAGAATTATAGCGTTTTTCCACAGTAAATAGCAATATTTATTTTGATAGTAATTTCGGGAAACGATATGAAAAGTTCATGCTACATATTATTTGTTTGAAGTTATGTGCATCAATCAAGGTTAAACATTAATCCACAAATTACATAAAATATCGCAGCTGATGAATAAGAGCTCATATTTTACTGTTATTTTTTTAAGCTGTCTGTACCTCAAGGGTTAAAAATTAATCTATCGATCGCACAAAATATTGGATATTGACTTGAAGTATTAAGTAGGGTTGTCAGTTTCATCAAAATTTACTTTCTACCACTTGGTTCTCATGCGTGCAGAAGCTTTTCTTCCAATTATTGATGAATTGATTAGTAACCTTGAAAAAAAGTGTTGCTTGCGAGTTGGTTGAAAACAATTTAGAAGCCTTCTTAGGGAATTAGCTCATTCAACTCAAAAATTTGTAGAAATTGGTAGATACAAGACGGGATTGACTTTGCGAAATTGTCATTAGAATTTATGCTCCACAAATAGTAAGAGTATTTCTTATTCAATATTTTTTCACATGGGTACACTAATTAGGTAACTTGAAATGTCATCATCAGTTCTAAAATTATACAATAATTAGCGGTTGTCTCTCCGCAGGCCTTTTTAATCCTCGATGTAATTTCACATCACAAGAGACTTTTTTAAATTCATCAGGCATTTGAGGCGGCTGATAACTTGTCACACATGTACACATCTGTATGAATTTTTAACTTTATATAATACTATGTATAGTAGACAGGTTTTTTATGTAAATATATTTTATTAACACATATACTACTATGAATAAAAAATAATAAGACTTTGTTCATAGTTTTAAAATTCTTAATTTATTCTTCGAAATTTATGAGGTAACCCTCAAAGTAATCCACCTTAGTCCCAATACACTTGTGAAAATCGTCGAAACAGGTGTTAAAGTCAATTTCCACCAGAAGTCACACGGAGCTATATCAGCTGAATACGGTGGTTGCGGCACGATATTAGTTGAAAATTTTCAGAAAAACTCACGAAGAATCAATGCAGTAAGCGACGGTGTATATCGTGTTGTAAAAACCAAGAGTTCTTGGCCCATAATTCCTAGCTTCGCGCAAACTACATGCTGCTTTCACTTTTCTTAGGCCCAATTGACGTGTTGTCCTGGATTGGTTCGTCATCAACGCGTTTTCAACCTTCCTTGAAAAATTCTTCTTGGTCTTTTCCAACATTATGTAAGTACTTTAGAAAGAGAAGCATATACTAAAGACTAATGAATATTTTGATGCAGTACTAAGCGCAGATGTCACTGACAGTCATACCAACCTAAAAAAAATAATATTTCGACGAATGGATTTTTGCGTGAAATTTTAATTAAAGAGTCTTACTATTTTTTGCTCACAGTAGTATAAATATGTATATGCGCGAGTACATTCACGCACCTACCATTAAATTTTCATCCTTATCATACTATACATAGGCACCTATTTTGCTAGTGTCGAATTGCAATTCCTTTGTTAATAGAAAGTGAGACAAAAAAATTAATTTATAACTACGTACATATATGGTATTATAAAATAAATTTGAGCAATTCATGACCTGTTTATATAACATATGTAGTGATTTCACCAAGTGTACATATATACATACATGTACAAAAACTTAACATTTATTTTAAAAGATTTCTTCTAAGTTTTGTTGAAATAATAAATGAATAAGAATAAAAACCATAAATTGCCTTTAGTCTGAGTGTGTGTATTAATGTGTATGCAAAGTACAAAGTTTTTCATAAAAGCAAATAAATTGAAACTAGGAAATACGCATGATAATACGAATGTTAAGGTAGTTGGAATCCGTTACCTTTCACACTGCCGCAAAGTCCACGAAGCAATAATCCATAGGGATACCATGAAAACTAGTAGCACCGTTCCTGGACATATTGTCATTAAAGTCTTTAAAACAAATCTGAAATTGAACACACATTTAAATTATTTTAATCAAAGTAATTTTATTTTTAGAATATGTAATCCTATAATTAAATAAATACGGATATACTTGTATGTAATTATTTATACATATTCAAAGGCAAAATGTGTTCTAAACCTTTATTTGATCACATGATCCAGAAATTATGGCTTGGTTGCAAATATGTATGTATGTATATGAAAATATTTAGCTTCCATACGTATTTTAAAACTTTTGTAGTATTGACTGATATTAACATCCAAAAATTAACAGATTCTGACAAGATTAGCGACTTCTGGGAGAATCACCTGGCTTCAATGCAACATTATTGAAGCTGATTTGAAATTCATTTATCCCAAAGCATGATATAAATGATATAATAGAAACATAATATAATAGCAAATTTGGTTCATGAAATGAAACACGATATTGAGCTTTAGGAAAATTCTTACTTCGGAAATTCATGAAATTTATAAGGAAACAAAGGCCTCATTCAACGAGTTGAAAGTAGTATACTCGTATACTGACAACATTGAGAAGGAAATGTATGAAATAATTAAAAATTTAGTATAACTCTTACCTTGTATTAAAGTTAATTCTGTTGAGGGCTCCTATGCTTCGTGACGATGCGTCCGTAAATAATTTCGAATGAAGAAGCATAACCCGACATATTAAATATAGCCGAAGGAACATGGGTAATGATAACGCCACATCATATGGTACCGTTTCGGTGCCCATAGTTTTATTTTTATTTGCCAATTTTGTGGTCCATTGGAAATAATATTCGCCAGGAATTGGATGAATTGCACATATAAAAAGTTCTAAACTTATCTGACTAATTCGTTGCCATGTCATTGCGATCCGCCAATCGTCTGCACAATTGTCTATCATGAACAACTGTTAATTTGTCAATGTACCGTTATCCATTTAGAGTTGAGTAGAGAGATTTAAATGTAAGAAAAAGAAATAAAAACCATAATTTTACCAATAATTCATTAATTGGAACTATGAAAATTTATTATTTTTAGTGTGACAAACGAAATAACTAACGGACAAACTAACGACTTGGAAGTCACTTTACATACATTCACTACAAAATATAATATTTCCAAATCATTAAAAACATAAAACATTTATTTCGCTCAGCTAAAGGCATCTACATCCATATCTGTGTTCAAAAGGCATATGTAAAATGGGAAATGCGATTTGTAGTTATACATTATTAGAATAGATAAGTTTTCATGTGGAGATGTTGATATTAACTATTATATTAAGTATTGTACCTCTGTATAATATTCTTAATTATGTACATATGTATTTGTGTATGTGCAAATAAGGTAATAATAAAAAAGTTTTTAAACTATAAGCTGAATTCTGGTAAAATTTTTGTCTGGCAAAACATATGTTATATTAATTACAGCCACAACAACAACAAAATGAACGAGGTTTGGACGTATTTTCAGATAATATTGTAAGATGGACATATTTCTTTCAGGTACTGCACAACGACTTATCATAGATAATTCTGGTATGGATAAGTGCCTACTGCCAACTTTACTACCGTAAATCTGCAAGGTTTGAAAGCGATGCCTTGCTCTTCTCTTTATTTGAACTCTACAAAATAAATACGAAAAAAGCACTGAATATTTTCATGTCATTTGAAGTGGAATTTTTTAAAACGGTAAAAATGGCGTTATTTAATTTTAATTTATTTGTTTGGTTTAAATGTATTGGGATAATGATGTCATTCAAGTTTAGTATTAAAAGTATTAACGGATACAAAGCATCTCATGACAGTTTTATATTAAGTAAATGTTTGAAGAAGGGGTACACAAGAGTGGCGGCCTATCATGGTCTGTGTCGATGATAAGCGACTGTAAAATTAAGAAAGGAGAAAAATACAAGAAAATGAGTCTAATATTTAAAATACAAATTTAACAGTAGATAAAAACTGAGCTATCACAATATAAAATACATATTATTCCTTCTGTCCTAATTTCCAAATTGTTTCACACATGTTCGTACTCAACTTTAGCTTGTTTTGGATCCTTAGTGCATAATAAATGACAGTAAGTATGCAGCTAACATAGGGTGAGTTACTTATAGACTTTTTATATAATAGTTGTAGCTATGAAATAAAAAAGACTACGCTACAGCTAAGCGTAAATCGGTGTAAATGCAAAGCCAACCATAAGAAATAAGCAAGTCACACTCTTCATGAAGCGTTTAAAGAAGCTTTGTAAAAAATATTGTAGAAAATGTTATGCCATCGTTATGCACCTTAATTTATAAAATAAGCGATACATTTACATCTTTTCATTACATACATAAGTACATGTGAGTTGTCCCACGTAATCATATAAATATGTACACACATACAAACAAGTGAATATTTGGCAATCCTCATTCAAAGATATGAGCCTGACATAATTAGATAAACTTACATACTCGTATAGCTAAAAGAAGCAAGTCAATTTTATCAATCTAAGAGATTTGTATCTAAATAAATCCGTTGGATATTAAATCTATATATTGAACTTGGAAGGATTTCATATTTCCTTAAGTTATAATAAGTTTCCGTAATTTTCGAAATATGTACATCGTTACTTACAGCAACTTTAAAATTCATTAATACATCTTAATATCGGGCTTCTAAAATTTAGTACAATGAATTATCAAAAAATAATTTGATAGAGGTTATGTCCTTATCCTAAATACAAGGCAAATCTTTTCGAAAGGCATATATTACATATGTAAGTATGGAAAGACTTTTAAATACTACTATAGGTATTTGTGCCGATATGCGGCAAAGAGGCATCTCATACGACCTAGCCAAATACTAGTTGTTTGCATGAAGTAGAAATACATACATAGAGAGATGACATGTTGGGGTGTAACTTAGTTGGTCATTTCATTTCATGGCCGGGATATATCCAAATAAGTTTGTATGTATGTGTGTGTACTCACAGTCTTGTATACTTATAATTACTGGAATTAGATACTTGTACTTGTATATGCATCGTAGGGACTATAACATATTATATAAAGCTCCAACTAAACTACCATCAAGAACTTACTCACAAATATTACAAAACTTTTATATTTACTTACTGAATTCTGCAAAGTATAATAAAAGGTCAGTATTAGATATTTGTAAAGGATTCACATTAATATTATGTAGGGTTTCTAGAAATTATACTATGGAAACGCAAATATGAACTGTCAAATGGTTTACTAAATGAATTTTTAACATATACATTAAATGAAAAATATAAATCATTTAGACGCATAGTGTGACCGCACATATTTCTACGTTCTCTTACATACCGATAATAATTTTTCAATCTTAGGCTTTATCTACATATGTGGGTATAAGAAATCTTGAAAAAAAAATTATATTTGATGGGTGTTTGTACCATTGGAATTACATAACACTGCGAAATCTCTGAAAGCTGGATTTTTATGATTATTTAAATGATAAAAATCTTATACATACATTTCTTCTKATTCTTATATTTAAAAATGATTGGCAAAATGTGTTACTAAGAGCATAACTCAACAACGGCTGGACCAATTTGACCAATTGTTTTTTCTAAATGCTCGTTGAGGTTCAAGGTTGGTTTTTACGGCAAAAAAAAATCGAATAATTGCCGGAAAACCCCTAAAAACAGGTCTTTTCTTTTTCCCATACAAACGAATTGTTTGTTAGTAACGCCAAGAGAACGAATGCATCAATGTTATCAATTACAGATTGAAATTTGTTACGCTGCTATGAAGAGTTCGCGCTAATATCGGTCGGCGTTCTTTTTGCTATCAACATATTTTGGCAGCCCAAAGCACGATGTCACAGCACGACTTTTCAAACAACAGTTACGATGTTTGATGGACTTTATCTCGAAGCAGCGTATATGTGGTACTGTTAGATGCTAGATGTAATCTGTTGAGTGGCAAAAGAGAGGTTTGTCGTACATATTCTTCTTTGGATGGTGGATGGTGGTTACACCAGATCAAATTGATGAACTCATTTCTGCGGAAATTCCTGATGCAGAGAAAGATCCAGTACTGTACGATGTGATGAAAACCAATATTGTTCATGGACCTTGCGGACTCCACAATCCCAAAATCTCACAATTCTTTCTATCTTCGGTTGCTATTGATTAGTGTACGCGGTTCAACTTCACTTGTGTGTGAAAGTTTTGGAGTAGTAAGCCAGCAATTATAATTGCTGAAACATGTTAATCACTGGAATGCAAATGAAGTTGGCGCACTTTTCGCGATAATCATAATCATCGATATATCATCGTTCAAATCCGCGTTAATTATGGGATACGAACAAAAATGACATTGCTGACGACGTTTTACATCGTCTTCGCTAAAAATTGGATGTGGGTGAATTCCGGTTGATATCAATTCCATCCGCCGTTTATCAATTCACGAAAGATGAATTCATCACGAATGTTCGAACATTGGCCAAATTATCGTAACTACGATTCCGATGTGGTTGGCTTAAACTGGAAGATTCAAAGTCGAATTCCCGGAGACTTGCGCTCATACCAATGGATCGATCGTCTTGACAATGAAGACGACGCCGTTAATTCACGTGGAATTTCTAAATTCTTTGGAGAGGCTTTGCAATTTCAGTTCAAACGTATTCCGTTTCCAGTGAAAATTGCATGGCACAAGGATAGTCGCATATTGTGTGACATAAATTTGGAAATGCTATGTTTTTCACACGGCCTGATATACGTGGCGTGCTCACGAGTTGGAAAACCTTCTTTTCTGTACACCGGAACATAAACCAAAAAATGTTGTTTGTATATCTATAATATATGTCAGTTCTCATAATACATTGGGGACAAACACGAAAACGTGAAACTATATTTTCCATTATTCCAGTACAATACTCTTTTAGTTTAGGTGTAAATGGGAGCAAGGCACAGATATACTCATCATAAAAATGATAGCTTCAATTAGTAATGCTTTAGTACAACGGTCTTCTACGGACGAGTATATTCAACCGAAAAACTGCACTGTAAATAATTTTTGCAGCGCGTATTTGACAAACCTTTTTTCTTCTAATAATTTCGTACTCTGATGAATCTTGTCATCAAATAATAAATTTGGCCAGTTAAGATCAATAATATTATGAAATTAACTGAAATTAACTAAATGTATTAACTAAAATGTATTTTGACAGTCTATTCATCTTGGTTCAAGAGTCTGGTACACAAAATGGGACAGTCTTATAAAATTACTACATGCTGGTATTAATAAACCAAGAGCTTTCGGTTTTACTCACATTAGCAGTACTACTTTGCTTCAAGCTTTCTAAATGTATTGATCAAACGCAAAAAAAAAGTAAAAATAACAAGTAAGGAAGGGCTAAGTTCGGGTGTCACCGAACATTTTATACTCTCGCATGATAAAGTGATAATCGAGATTTCAGGCGTGGTTGTGAACCGATT